CTGCCGGGACTGTCCGCTCCGGCTGCTTCTCGGCGCCCCCGGGAACGACTTGTAGCCGCCGGGGCCGGGAAGCATTTGCGGCCTCGCTGCAGGGGTGGGCCCAGCTGGTGCGTGGGGTCTCGCCAGAGCAGGCTCCCAGGGCGCCAGGTGGGCAGGTGGCTGCGCCGCATTCTCCCTGCTGCTCGGTTCCCCGCCAGCACAACAGACTTGGGTCCTTGGGGCTTCGGATCTGGCTGCGGTCGCCACTCTTGGTTGGCCGTGTTCCTGGAGAATTAATTGCAGGACCGTTCCCAGAGACCTTAAGTAGGGCTGGCTTTGGGGGTTCCAGACCCAGGGCAACGGGGATGTGGAGCGTCAGGCAATCGTGCTCCACTTCTTTCCCCCCCCAACCCCTGCCCCCCTGCTGTGCTCCTAATGCACCCCTGTCCCCTTACTGGAGGGCTTGGTGTGGGGTAGCAGCATGGCTCAGCACCTCCCCGCACTCACAGCAGGAGCCAAAGTGACCCGTCAGCCTGCTTGCTTGCCCCCAGAGCCCATCTCGCAGACTGCTGCACTCCACTTCCCGCTGCCACAGTGAAGTGGAGCCCCGTGGGCTGGGAGATGGTGGTGGAGTGGTGCAAGCTGCTGGTAGCCCCGCTGCCAAGTTGCACCCTTCTCCCAAGTAACCCCCCAGGCTGCCCTGGGCCCCATGGCTAACATGGAGGACTGTCCTGTCCGTAGTAGGTGTGTTTGTGTGTAAATGACTAACCGTTTAACCAATAATTGGATGCTTATTGGTTATTGGTGTTGTTTACACTTGGTGAAGCCTCCCAAGGAACCAGGCCAGCAGGGGCTGGTAGCCCCTCTCCTGGGGAGGCTTCGCTGTGGGCTCTGCCTAGCCTTATATAATAGAGCCCACAGCATGGGAACTCTGTAACCTCTGAGATTTTTCTGCACTTACACAGTGACCCTACTAGACTATTTTTAATGTCCCTAGACCATAGGACAAGTCTCTAGTGCCTGGGGGGGGGGGTGTGAACCTTTTTCGGGTCCGGGGCTGCTGACCCGCAGAAAAATCGGTTGGGTGCCACACACAAGTGAGAGCCAAACAAACCAAACCTTCACTGATGCCCCCAACTGAGAAGGAGAGAGACCACATCTGGCCTCTGGGTCTTAGGTTCCCCACCTCTGGTCTAGCACTTGCAAACCTAGATCTGTCCTGGAGCCACATCCCCAATACCTGAAGGTGTATCTACGTTGGCACGATCTTGTGCCAAAGCGGCTGCTTTTGCACAAAAACATGCTGCCTGTCTACACTGGCAGGCAGTTCTTGCACAAGAACACTGGCATTCTAATGTGTGAAATCAGTGCTGCTTGTGCAAGAACTATGATGCTCCCGCTCAGGAATAAGCCCTCTTGCGCAAGAGGCCAGTGTAGACAGGCAACATGAATTTCTTGCGCAAGAAAGCCTGATGGCTAAAATGGCCATCGGAGCTTTCTTGCGCAAGAGAGCGTCTACACTGGCATGGATGCTCTTGCGCAAAAGCACATCTCTTGCGCAAAGGCATATGCCAGTGTAGACGCTCTCTTGTGCAAATATTTTAACGCAAGAACTCTTGCGTTAAAGAGTATTTGCACAAGATCATGCCAATGTAGATGTAGCCTTAGAGTAGAAAGGGTTTGATTTTCTGCTCTGTTCACCAGAACATTTTTATGTGTCTGCTGAATTTCCTATTTTGCTCTAGTCCACTGCTCCCTATTTATTTCAAGATCTAGTTTAAAAAAATCTTCCCTTATGTTTATGGTTAAAATAATCTAACAAACTGTTCCTGCCTTTCTCAAACCTGGGCTACATTCAAAAATTAGATGAACCTGGTTACATTGCTCAGGCTGTAAAAAAAAAAAAAAAAAAAAAAATCTTGTGCCCTGTGTGCTGTAGTTAGGTTGACCTAACTCCTGATGTAGACTGGGATATATCAGTACCATATAGTACCACATGGAGCTTACCTGTCTTCTTCCTTATCTCTTCATTTTTAGTGCTGGCTTCCTCTCTGTCTTTTTGAAAGTCTCATCACTATACACATGAGCCACTTTTTTGCAGCTGCCATAATCTGGAACAGGGTTTGTCTTATCAACTGGATATTTTACTTCAGTCTCATTAAATTATGTATCTTTTCTTGTCTAAGGCTATATCTATACTGGAAGGCTGTGTCATCTGCTTTTGCGGAAAAACTTGCCAGCTGTCTACACTGGCCGCTTGAATTTCCGCAAAAGCACTGACGATCTCATGTAAGATTGTCAGTGCTTTTGTGGAAATACTATGCTGCTCCCATTTGGGCAAAAGTCTTTTTCCGAAAGACTTTTGCGCAAAAGGGCCAGTGTAGACAGCAGAGATTTCTTTTCCGCAAAAAAGCCCCGATCGCAAAATGGGCTTTTGCAGAAAAGCATCCTGCCAATCTAGAAGCTCTTTTCTGGAAATGCTTTTAACGGAAAACTTTTCCGTTAAAAGCATTTCTGGAAAATCATGCCAGTGTAGACGTGGCCGAAAGGTTTGGCGACAAAAGTGCTGTCGATATGCAAAAGTCACCAAAACAGCAAACTTGCCAAATCTGTTTTTCTGCCATTCCTTCTCAATGCATGTCCACATTGTTAGCTCCCCGGTCAACAGAAAGAGCAAAGCTATGTGAGTAAACATCTCACAGTGCCTGGCATCACCTTCAGTCACTAAGCACTGTGGGAATGTGCAACAGAGCGCTAGGCATTTTGAGAATGTGAAAAACGTCCCGCCAGCCACCTCTTCACTTCCCAGCCCTTGAATGACAATCCTTGTTGTGAACTCCAGCATCTGCTGTGAGAAATCATGGATCCCAGACTTCTCTGCCATGTTGTGTTCAATGTGCTTAGATCATCGTGTATTGCAGCAGACCTACTTATGCACTAATACAAAGGATGAAGACTCAAATGCAGACAACAATGTGAGTGGCAAGGAGAGCAGCGAAGTAGCATTGCATTGGAATGTCACAGAGCAGCTGTTCAGAGTAGAGCATCGCTTTTGGGCTAGGGAAACCAGCACTGAGTGATGGGATTGCATTGTCATGCAGGTATGGGATGAAAATCAGTTGCTACAGAACTTTTGGATGTGTAAAGCAATTTTCTTGGAGTTGTGTGTTCTGAACTGCAGTGCACCCGAATAAGAGCTGCTCTCTGTACAAAGCATGTTGCAATTACTTTGTGTAAGCTGGTGACTCCAGATTGCTACCATTCAGTTGCAAATCAGTTTGGAGTGGGGATGTCTACTGTCTGGGCAATAACTTGCATTTTGTTGCATAGGACTGTGAATCTGGGAAATGTGGATGACATAGTAACTGGCTTTGCTGACATGTGCTTTCCAAATTGTGGCAGGGCAGTTGATGGCACACATTCCCATTATAGCACCGCCTCACCTTGCTTCAGAGCACATCAATCGTAAGCGGTATTTCTCCATGGTGTTTCAGGCGTTTTTGGATCGCCATGGGCATTTCACACAGATAAATGGAAGGTGGTCTGGAAAGGTGCATGATGCATGCATCTTCAGGAACAGTGGCCTGTACAGAAAGCTGCAGGCTGGAACTTTCTTTCCAGATCAGAAAATTACAGTGGGAGTGTGGAAATGCCCAGAGTGCCCTTTCAACTCTGGCTCATGAATCCTTACTCAAGGCCCCTGAACAGCAATAAGGAGTGGTTCAACAACAGGCTAAGCCAATGCCACACAGTTGTTGAAGGTGCCTTTGGCAGATTAAAAGGGAAATGGAGGTGTCTCTATGGCAGGATGGACTTTATAGAGAATCATAGCCCCAAGGTGGTGGCCTTATGCTGTTGCTTACATAATTTATGTGAAAGTAAGGGAGAAGTGTTTAACCGTGGGTGAAACAATGAAACACAGCACCTGGACACTCAATTTAAAGAGCCAGACACTCATTCTGTCAGAGGAGCCCATAGGGTGGCCATCAATATCAGGGAGGCTCTGTAATACCGCTTGGACAATGAGGGGCTGTGACAGGACGTGCACACCCTGCACTGAAGCTGGTGAGATTAAAACCCTGTGGGCAGAGGAAGTCCCGCCCTTTGACCAGACTGGGCAAGCTCCAAATGCTGGGGCAGCATAAAAGGCAGCAGAGCAGCTCAGTCTGGGCTGGCCAATGAATGGGAAGGATCTTCAATTGGAGCTTCACCAGTCAGTGACACAGACAGCAGGAGACAGAGCCCAGGAGACCGCTGCCATGCATCCCCAGAGCAACCCCAAGGAGAAGCAGCTTCTGGGGAACTAGAAGACCCAGCCATTACATGGATGCCTACCAGCACTGGTAGGAAGTGACCCGTGTAGGAGTGGCCTCCCCCACCCAGATAAACTTGGTGGCTGTGTCTACACTGGCATCCCTTTCCGGAAAAGGGATGCTAATGTAGACTTTAGAATAGGCAAATCCGCGGGGGATTTAAATATCCCCTGTGGCATTTGCATTAACGTGGCTGCCGCTTTTTTCCGGCTTGGGAAACAAACAATTTAAACAAACAATTAAAACAATTTAAATGGCTGCTGTGCTGGTCGGCTCAGCGCACTAGTCTGGACGCTCCCGCGCTGACCTGAAAGCCCTTTATCGACCTCCCTGTTATGCCTCGTAGGATGAGGTTTACCGGGGAGGTCGATAAAGGGCTTTCATTTCGGCTGGGGAGCATCCAGACTGCCCTGATCTGCCGACAAACAGCTGATCGGCAGAGTGGGGCAGCCATTTAAATTTAAATGAAGCCGTGATTATTTAAATTGTGGCTTCATTTCCCTTTGCCGAACAAACAAATCTATATGGTTCCGTCAATGGAGCCGTGTAATTTAGACATACCTTTGGTTACCTCCCTCCAGTAAGGGCCCCACAACCTCTCTGATCACCCTCTGGGTGCAAAAGGTTTGGGGTGCTCCAAGCAGGAAAGCATCTTGAACGCTAGCCAGCCATTTCCCTGAGAAGATGCCGTGAGAACCATTTCACAATGAGCCAGACATCAGGAAATAGATTTTAAAGTTCCTGGGGTTTGCAGGTGGGGGGAGAAATCTGTTTACATGGCTGCAGACCAGTGGAATTCAAAGTGCTGGCCGGAGTGGCTAATTGGGCATTGTGGGAAACATGCTGGAGTTCAATAAACTTGATTAAAAAACCTACTGTAGGATGCACTGTGTGACTGTTGACAGAAAAAGGAGGGAGAGAGACAAAGGTCCTTCGCAGAGCTGGAAGTTTTTGTTACCAAAACTGGGTGCTTGTTGCAATTTTTGACACGTTGCAATGTTGAATGCTCTTAGTGTTTTGTGTGTTGTTTTGTTTTTTTGGTGGGTTTTTTTTGGTGACAAACTCTGCCAATGTAGGCAATGCCTTATTCTTTTAATATCCTTGTTCCGCTGTGTATTATTTCACTTGAATCTTGTTATTTAACTTTGTTTTGACAAGTTGGGAAACAGTTGGATTTGAATTAGAATAATTTGCAAGAAGTCTCTGAGCTGAATGCATTTTAAATGTTAGATAATTTAGTAGTAAGGAGGTTAAAGAGCAGATGATACTTGAGGGAAAACTTTGATAAACATTCTGTGTTGTAGCCATTCTGTTTTATGTCATATTTTGAGTTTCTTTCTTATTTTTTATCTATGATAGGGACACTTGCATAAAAACAGAATTGTTATTTTTCAGGAGTCTTCTTTGCCTGTTGGCTAATCTTCAGGTAGAGTCTGACGCTGCTCCCAATGAAGTCAATGGCAAAATTCTTACTGACTTCAGTGGAGCCGAATCAGGTGCATAAATGATCCTGTAGTTCAGTGGTTCTCAAACTGTGGTCCATGGCCGCATTCCAGGTGGTCTGTGGCTCGAGTTCAGCTCCCCACTTCCACCCATCCTCCCTCTCTCCACAGCCAGGAGTTTGCGCTGGCACTCCACAACTTCCCCACCCCTTGTGAGGTTGGCGCGCCAGTGTTGGCATCCCTCTGAGGGGGCGAGCTCCAAGCCTCCCTGCCAGATCAGCCTCATGAGGAATAAGCAGAGCCAGAAGCGGCTCCATGTACTGCTGCTCCCTCTGCCCCAGCTGGGGAAACTGCAGCGTGTTGTCGCACTGCCTGGAGGCTTTCCTGCAGCTCTCATTGGCTGGAGTCCTTCCTGGGACACGATGCCTGAGCGGTGTGAGGTGCGAAAGCAAGTAAGTTCCCTCAACCCTCATGCCCAGCCCTCCCCCTCCTACTCTCCTCCTGCACCAGCCCCTGCCAAGACTCTGCACCTCCAGCCTGCTCCTGCACCAGTCCCCAAGTTGGACACTCCACCCCCAGCCTGCTCCTGCTTCCTCCCACCCTGGCCAGACACCCTACCCCCCACCCGCTCCCGCCCCCCCCC